TTTAGAAAATCCACTTGTCATCACATCATTCGCCTGTGCAAAATCCACAGAGCTGCTCTAGGGCTGAAGTATCCAGGGGAAAGTCTGCAGGCCGGTTTCCCATCTTTAGTTTTACAGCCCCAACACCATCCAGTTGCTTCGTGTTTCCTGAGCTCTAGGGCTGCCATGCTTTGGCCCGGAAAGCTGGCTTCCCTTAGTCTACCCGCCCCAGCCCTGCATCCTTTCCTGCCACAGATATCTCCTAAGTGCCTGCCCAGAGCCAGGCTGATGCTAAACTCTGGGCCTGCCCCGTGGTGGACATGCCAGACTCCATTCCTGCCCTCCGACAGCTTAAATGGTATTTGGGCAGTCTACATTTGAAAACATGGTGACAGGCTCTGTATTCTACAGGTACTGGCGATTTCTCACCGCCCCCCCAGCCCAACAAGGTTCTGTATACCCTGGTCTTAACACTTTAAAATTTTAGTTTTAAACTTAGAACTAGAACATCAAAAGTTAAAATGTTAGCTTTTAAAATTAATTATTTTAAAATTAGAATTCTCTGTTACAAATACAAAGAAGATGCATCAAATGCAAATAATGAGGGATTCTAATTCAGGAGACACGGTAGGGGAAAAGTAAACCGGGTATTATCCTCCACAAGGAACAACAGGACTCGGTTTCAATTACGTGGTGTGTTGAGGTTTAACTACATCATCTCCAGCTTGCAGAACTTTTTGGTTTCTGGTGGGCAATCCTCTCCTGCAGCTCAGAAACTTGAAGTGGAGCCTCCCTTGGGCCTCCTGGGCCTGTTGTAAGAGGTCTCTCTCTGAGAGACTGGAAAGAGGGGTGCAGATTTTCTTGGAGAACATTAAAAATCAAGATGTCTGGGTTTCTGTAAATCTCATTAGCATCTAATATAGAATCTGATATGGAATAGTTAAAACCAACGCAAAGGAATTCCTTCCCTCTTTCCTTCCTCATCCCCTATAATGTCTTGCATAGCGCTGACATGCAGTAGGTACAAATAAATACACACGGAGTGGTAACTGTGCATGAAATCATGCACTGCAGGGGGACCAGAGATTTGGGTGGCAGCGGTGGCAGAAACAGCACCACAGTGCAAATAATAGTGGAGGCCTCCATGGGTGCATTCATCTTGAAAGATGTCTTATCTTAAAAGTATGGGAAAGGGAAGTCACATTGGCCCAACAACGATGGGAAGAACATAATTCAACACTGAGCCTCTTAGAAACCAATGAAATAATTTTAAGACACACTAATAAATTGGAGAAAGTTCTGAATCTGGAAGCAGCGGACATAAACATATGTACCTACACAGAGGTTTATGTGTATATATATATATATATATATATGCATATACATATATAAATATTAAGTGATACTCTTATTAATGATGAATATTCTCAAACCATTGTTTGAACTTGTCTTTAACAGTGAGAAAAAAAAAGTTTTATTTTTAAAGGACATTCAAGAAACCAAAACCAGGGGAGAAATAACAAATGTTTACAGTAGGAATGCTCTTCAATTCTTTTCAAGAAGTTTAAGTTTGCTGATAGAGGTCAATTAGGTAGGCTAATTACTATGTTCATTTTTATCAGATTCATCAACACTGACTTTTTTCAGGTGCAACAAAAAGGTATTCCCACACATAAGGCAGGTCAACACCATTCATCCCTTTGATTTAATGTGAAGGTCTGAATACTAAATGATCCAGACAGCAGACCTCCTTATCACATTGATTTAAAGCCACTCGTCCAATAAGCAAGCACTTCAGAAAAATAAACAGATCAAGGCAAGGCAAAGCAGTGTGAGGCCTGGTTCCCCTCTAGCAATCTGGTGCCATCAAAAGATGATCAGAGCCCAGGTCGCAGGTCTCACTTTTCAAATCAGATTGAGAAAGAGTATTTAATTTGGTACCACGTATGTCAATGGATATGTATTTCTTGTTCTGGCCATGATAAATGCAATGTCTTGGCAGTGATGAGTTGATGAGCCAAGCAGCTGGGGTAACAGCCCCTCCAGTCCTAGCCTATGTCCACTGCTGGGCTTCGCAGGTCCTTCCCAGAACCATCCTGGGACCACAGCACCTCAGCCTTTACCCTGTCAATGCCCAAGAGCCCTCAAGGTACAAACTCAGAGCCAGAGCTGGCATATTTCCTCCAGTTTTCCAAACCAAGTGGCCAACAAAGTGGGGAGTGGAGCCCCACATTTACAATATCATCTGCAGTTTAAACTCAGGGGCCTGCCCCGACTGAAGATTTCCTAAAAGGTAGAGATTTTGGGAAAGGAATGTGGAACTGGGGAGAAAAATTAGCATATATCTCTGGTTTACTAAAGTTACTCTAAACACCCAACACCCAGGTTTTTTTTGTTTTTTTGTTTTTGTTTTTTTAAATAGAAATACAGTTACCAAAGAGAAAGCAACAATTTAAATGCCACTAGAACTGGGCACGGCTGAGGAAAGGAGTGGCATTCAAATGATTAATTATACTCACACCGGCTCTCTATACTGATCTCTCCTGCTAAGAGCTTAGGTGGCTTGCCAATTACTTACGTGAATCATCCTCTACTTGCCTGATTTGTCTTTAAAGTTTGAACTCAGCAATTTGCACGTATTTAAATATCAAGTGACATGGTAGTTTTTAGGGGGAAAAGGTAAAGGAAAGCTGGCTCATGTCTTGGTATTTCTGCAACTAAACTGGTCATTTTAGGAAATTTAAAACACTACTTTCATCTGCTGCAGTACAGATTTCAGGCTGTAAAGAGTCCATTTTAGATCTTACTTAACAGGGCTGATTATGGGAAGAAATTTTAAAACTCCGTTTTGATAATGAATTGAGGAACCTAACAGGATCCTGTAGCATATGTCTTCAAAAGCCAGTTTCTGTGAAATGCAAGTGTAATTGATTTAAAAAAAAAAAGGAGAGGGACAGAGGGAGGTACACACATGAGTTTCACGTAGGATTCAGGTAGAGTAGATTTTCTTAGGACATCAAAGTTTCAGCTATTCATTCCTTTAAAGCCTTCTGTTTATTTTCATATGGTCTCTTGAAATGTACTACACAGTTCCTAAATAATGTAGAATCATTCCTTTTTACTTTATACGAACCTTTTTTTTTTGTTTTTTTACTACTCCAAAATTTATTCTTTAAAGATTACTTATTTTTTCAGCAGTAAATTACAAGTCTAGGTTTGAATGCAACTCTTTCTCTTACACATGAGGCCCAAATCATGAGTGCTGGCACCACCAGTTTTTGCTTTTGTTTTTTAAGATTTTAAAAAATTTATTCACGAGGGACACAGAGAGGGAGGCAGAGACACAGGCAGAGGAGAAGCAGGTTCCCTGCAGGGAGCCTGATGCAGGACTCGATCCCAGGACCCCAGGATCATGCCCTGAGCAGAAGGCAGGTGCTCAACCACTGAGCCACCCAGACCCCTCCACCAGTTTTTAAAAGCAAACTTAGCACCCTCTCCACACTGTAGCACTTCTCCTCAGCCCTCTCCCAGGCACACCCAAGCCTCTGCTCAGAACCCAGCTCTGTGGAACCATCAGCCTTGGTCCACACAGGAGAGAATGTCACTGGCAGCCTGACTAACATTGCTTATACAAAACCTGGCAGTTTGGAGGCTTCAGTCAGCCTGAGTGAGCATGCAAGAAATTCTTAGAAACTCAGTAATGGGGCAGGGCAGGGCGGGGAGGTCCACATATCTTTAGGTAAGCTCAATTTGCCTTAGGGGCTCTGTTCTTTAAGGGAATATACAGGGTAAGATGTGTCAATGTTCAACTTGTAAGGTCAGTCAGGGTAGCAATATGTCACTTAGTGCAGGATAGGTTAGGATTTCTGATTTGGGGCAAGTAAAAGAAAGCATTACTAAATTTGAAAGGATTTATAGTAAGTCAGTGCTCTCACAGTAAAATGAATGGACTGTCTTAAAAGCCCTTGTATCTCTTAACTCTGATTCTCTGCTCTTAAAAAAATCCATGGGGGGTGGGGGAGTAGGGGGTACCTGGGTGACTCTGTGGGTTAAGCATCTGCCTTTGGCCCAGGTTATGATCCCAAAGTCCTGGGATTGAGCCCTGCATCGGGCTCCCTGCTCAGCAAGAAGTCTGCTTCTCCCTCTCCCTCTGGCCCTCCCCTCTGCTCATGTTCTCTCCCTCTCTCAAATAACAAACAAACAAACAAACAAATAAATAAATAATCCTTTAGAAAATTCCTTGGTTTTTACATTTTTTTTCTGCTGTTTTTACAAATCTGACTAGCTATATTAAAATCAAGTAACTAACATCAGATCCTTTCTTGGGGGAAATGACCATGCGTTGGCACTCTGACAGCACCATGATCTTAATTTTAAAAGTCAGATTTGAGAACCAGGCATATATGGGAAGAAAAGCAACAGTGCACGTTTTTATGTGGGGGGTACCGAGAGCAGACCACAGAGCTCCCCAAGCTGTGCCTAGGACTGGCAGGCTCCTCCTGCTGGTGACAACAGCTCTGCAGTCACTAGACCATGTCACATCACAGCGCACAAGGTGTGGCCTCTGACAGAATGCTGCAGACAAGAGTCAGGTTCGGCCAATTTGAAAAGTGGCAAATCAGAACAAAAATAAAATTTCTCCAATTGCTAAGTGGCCTCTGCAAATACAGGAAATGCGAATTCAAAACACACATGCACACTAATACAGGCTGTTGACACATCTGATGGCAGAAATCGGGAGGAGGCTCTGCTGGCAGGACACTTCCACTGGGAAATGAGTATTGTGTAGAACTCTCACGTATATTCTCTTCCCAAAGAATACTCTTTCCCTACCATCTGCTAAAATAATTTTGATTAGAGGCCCCTAACTGAAAGAACCTTTTATTTCAGAAAGCTCATTTGCAAGTGTCTTATACAAAATGAAAATTACTATTATGTAATTACTTGCAATGAAAAAAATGTAAGTCCTACTTTACAGACCAAAACCCATTTGAAACAAAGGTTACAAAAAAGCAACTCACCTGGAAATCCTGATCATCGATGCCAAACCTTTCCCGCAGGTTACGGAAAACCATCGGGCAGTATTCCTTAAACTTGAAGTGGCTTGGCATGTTTTCTCTGAAACAGGCATATTGTGGAATAAAGTTGAGATGTACAAAATGTTAGCTGGACTTAGATCTGCCACCATCTAGTTCCACATGTAGCCCGAGTGCCTGGAGCTCCCCACCCACAGAAGCCATGGGTGTGCTTCATAGAACCAACTACAACCCACAGTAAATCTGGGAGACACAGGACAGACTGATAATATTCATCTCTCACCACCTAGGGGCACTAGGACTGTATGACCTTTCTAATCCCAGCCACTCCTTACAGCCGCTTCCCCAAGGAAGAAGAGGTGGAAGAAGAAGGGGCCACACAGAGGGAAACAGTGAAGGGCAGAGTAGGATGGGCAGCAGAACGAGTCACAAATGTGCTCCCCACACTCCTCCTCAGGTACTTGCGGATTAAAGCTTGCAATGCAACACTATCCCCTACTCCTTGAATGACCTATTTTATGCTATATATAAATACCACAATCTAAAATCACATAGAAAAAAAATCCCTTCAAAAGGTCAACTTCTAAACAGTATTAAGAGAATTAACACATCAGCTTCATATCAGAACAATGGCCACATGAAGAAATTTTGTAATTGATCCTCAAGTGGGAGGGGTTTCTTTGAGGCTCATCCCATTCATTTAGAATTGCTTCCTCCTTTGTTACATGTACACACACACACACACACACACACACACACACACACACACCCCTCTACTGCCATACTCTGTACACCAAAACATAGTAATTTGTATATGCGTCAGGTTTCAACCACCTGCCTGTGAGCCCCCTGAGGGCAGGGCCATTTCTTATACTTCTCTGTCCCTCCTGCTCTCAGTGGACAGCTAATACATACGGTGCTCCATAATATCTAAAGTGACATTCAGATGAAGGAGAAATATCCCCAATGCCCAACATGGCATCCAGTTACGTTTTATAAAAATGGACCTTAATGGATCTTCTTTCTTGTTCTATGAAGTAGTCATTTCTGTTCATGAGGTTAAGTTTTGTAGAAGAGCTGAGGTCCATAGCTGCTAAAAATTCCAAGCAATTTACAGCTTCAAACATTTAAATTGTAATGAGAATATCACTTTTAACATATAAGATATTCATAGAGAACAATATGCCATATGGCAAAAGGATATTACCCAAGAGGGCCTGCTGTTGCTTTTCTGAAAATGACAGATGGTTATGTTTATCACAGGATTAACTTCATCAGCAAAACTTTACTCCCACCCATTGACAAATAATGTGATTATAGAAATTCATAAAAATCACACTCCTGGCAGCCATGTCAGTCCAATAAAAGGCCGTACTTGTACTTACTTGTTAAAAAGGTGATTGTCCACCTTTATCTTTGAATAGGCTTTGAAGTCATCTGGCATCAACATAACAGGGATTTGAACATGGCTCAGTTCATTGATCTAGAAAAATACAAAATAAATGGCACAGGTTATTACTACCTATGTGGAAAGTGCTTGACTTGAACACAGACCTCAGGAAGACAATCCAGTAGACGCAAGAACCTCCTGCCCCCCTTCCTCCTGCTCCTATCCCAATTCATCTCTCTTGCTGCCCTCTTCACTTCCTCTTCAGGCCCTGCCACTGACTCCACCTCACATCCAGCTCCACCTCCCACTCATCTCAGCCTGCTGCTGGCCTGTGGGGGCCTCGGGGTGCTGTGGCAAGGGAGGAATCCAGAGGGTGAGCCCTCATGGCCAGCTCTCCCTGTTTCTCCCATTTATCTTCTCACTTCCCCTCCAGAGCCTCAGCCCAGAGCTCCTTCAACCACATGTCCAGGACAACTACTTCCTGTAAAGAAAATACTATTTGAGAAAGGAGGCTTTTGAACTTCTGACTTAAGTATTTGTTGAATTGACAAATGTGACCATTTCTTTACACATCTGGGTACTCACAAAGCAACAATGTCATTCATGAGACCTCTACCTTGCTTATAGGAGCTATATTTAAAAGTTTGGGGGCAGGGGATGAATTTACCAAAAGAGCAGGCTTCACAAAGGAAGGGAAGGAGACATATGACCCTGGTACTAAGTAAGAAGGAGATACGTTTGAAAGGTGTCAAGAACAAAAGATGTGGTTACAGAAAACAAAGGGTTGAACCCGGGTGCCTGAGTGGCTCAGTTGGATGAACATCTGACTCTTGTTTTCCGTTCAAATCATAAGCTCAGGGTTGTTAAGATTGAGCTCCACGTCGGGCCCCACACTGGGCATGGAGCCTGCTTAGGATTCTCTTCCTCTGCCTCTCCCTGCTAATACTCCCTCTCCTTCTAAAATAAATAAATAATAAAATCTTAAGAAAACAAAGGACTGGACCAAGTTCTGTCTGAGTCCCAGTGAATGGCGAAACAGCTTTTGAATATGACTTTGAAAAAGTTGAGCTTTCTCTTGGGCAATTATTTTTCTACCTTGGCTCCCAGCTATACCTCCCTTGTTGCTAATAAAAACCACTTTAAAGATTTATACTTCAGTAAATTGAAGATTCTCAGAAGGGTTCTCAGTTACAAAAACAAAACAAAACCAAACAAAGGAAAAAAATGAGTTTTCTGATAAAGCAGAGTGGTTAACACATTGCTGGGTTCATAGAACGTAGAGAAAATCTTCAAGATTTCTTCCCCTTCTTCTTTGCCTTCCTTTTCCTAAAAAGATTTTAATCCACAGGGAATTTGATGACTATCATACAAGCATGAACAGAGCTGTTGATCTGAAGAGAAATACTGATTTCGACACTTAGTTGGGTCAAAGTAAACCTGAGGAGCTCAACCAAACACTTCAGCCTAAAATGAGGACCCTTGAAAGAAGTAAAAGTCATCCCAACACCTGGTGGAAGTAAATGCAAATGGTGTCTGGGGAAAAGCAACCCCAATGCAGGCCTCTGAGCGGCCCACAGATTTAGTTCAACCAAATATGAGTTCACAAAGATAAATGAGAGTGGGATTCAGCTGAAACAAAAATCATTTTTAAGACTTCAGTTATTAGAATGATCAGCTATGGAAAAGAAAACAAAAACTGTATGTAAAATGTATTGAAGAAGTAAAAGATGGGCTGGCAAAAATGAGCAGACTATGAGACTTTCAAAATGACCGGTCAGGTTGAAAAAGAATCCAATAAAACTTCTACAAAATGAAAACTATAATCGGTAAACAGAAAATAGAACAAAAAGCCCCTGACCTAGGGCTTCAGCAGCAGACTGGATAACTGGTATACCAGTGGGGAGAGCTGGGGAAGTTACCCAGAATCTACATAGAATGAAAATGTCATATATAAAAGAATGGTTAAGTAAGAAAAAGAGAGAGAGAGAGAGAATGCTTATGACAGGTTATGACAGGGGGGTTGGGAGGGAGCTTACATGAAATCTTAGAGGATTGAACAGAGTATAGGGAAAAGATAATATTTGAAATATAAGAATTTTGAGAATTTTCCACAACTGATGGAAGTTATACATCTACGGATATGTAACATACACAGAAGAGTCTAAGAAGAAATCCACACCTACATACACTATCATTAAATTGAAGATACCAAAATTAAAGAAAAGTGGTCAGAGGGAAAAGACAGAACACAAAGAAGGAATGACAATCAGATTGACAATTAACTTCCCCAAAGCAAACCTGAAAGCCCAAAGACAGTGGTGTATCTTCAAAGTGAAAAAGTTACTGTCTACATAAAACCATTTACTGTGGCACAATATTTTCTTGGTCCATTATCTGGGTTCCTGGCACAAATCCAAAACCCTTGGAATTTCCAGTGATAGAAATATCTTCTGCTGTTTATAAGGTGCCCTTTTAGAGAACACGTGAATTTATGCTAATGAGGTGAGTCAGGGTGGGGCCCCTCAAGAGCCTCAGGATGGGGCTGGTCACTAGAATGAGCAAGTAGGTATAACTCTGGAGCTTTCAGCCCTGCTCACTGACCTCGGGGAAGGGGTAGGGGGTAACTAGAGATTAAGTTCCATAAAACTCTTGAACAAGAAGTGGTGAGCTTCTGGGTTGGTGAATACAACCACACACACACGAAGAGGATGGCACATGGGGCATCCATGGGCCATGGCACAGTTCCATGGGGACAGAAGCTCCTGTGCTTGGGACCCTTTGGGGCCTCAGCCAATGTACCTCTTCACTTGGCTGTTCATCCAGGTCTTTTATAGTATCCCTTATAATAAAATGGTAAATATGCATATATATATATTTTTTTTCTGAGCTCTGTGAGCCACTGTAGTAAATCAATCAAACCCAAGGAGGGGGTCATGGAATGGCCAATGTACAGCCAGTAGGTGAGAAGTGCAGGTAACAGCTGGGCTTGTAGTTGGCGTCTGAAGTCAGGGCAGTCTGTAGGACAGAGCCCTTGACCCAGAGGATCTGATGCCGTCTCCAGAAATGTTGTGTCAAAATTCACAGCTTTGTGTTATTAGAAAAAACACACATGGGATATACCCACTAAAACTATCTTCAAAAGAATGAGAGGAAAATAATGGCTTTTAATAGAAACAAAAACCAAGAACTTACCTACAAAGGACCTCACTAAAGAAATTTATGAGCTTTAGAAGCATAGTATTTAGACTGCTGAGATATAATTTAGAAAGAAAGTAAATGTGTATTTAAGATCTGAGATAGAAAAAGAATTTGTAAGCAAATAAATTGGTATATAGGAAGATAAATACAAGTAAATATCACCTATATAAAGTAATAATGCTTAATTCATGGGATTAAATGAATGTTCATTATTTATGGATATAAATAAACATTGAATAACAATAGCATGTAAGTTGGGAAGTAGACAAAGTTACAGTGCCCTTGTATTGTTCAGGAGGAGAGCAAGATACAACTTTAAGTATTATGATAACATTTAAAAGGCAAACATTAAAAGAAACAGAGTATATAACTTCCAAACTAGTAGCAGGGAAAAAACAGAATAAGAAAATAAATAAAACACATTTATTTTTTAAAAAAAAAGAGAGCAAAGAAGAAAATATAAACATTGCAAAAATAGAACAAATAGAAAGTAAACAGTAGAAATTCATCTATCTATCTATATCTATATATATGTATATATATATATAATCCCAATGAGCATACACAAACGAGTGGTTAAAAATAGACTGTCAAGATGAATTAAAAACTATAAGCTATATGCAAGAGAAATCCTAAAACATAACTCAAGAAGGTTGAAAGGAAGAGAAAAAAATATTAAATAGTACCAAAAATTATTGGGAAGCTAGCTGACCTTTACCAATATCGGTTAAACTAATAATTTTAAGACAAAAGCATTGTTAAGGATAAAGAAAATCTGTACATAATTATAAAAGGTTCAATTAGCCAGGAATATAGGATTCATATATTAAGTACCTAATTAGCCTGGAAGTGTACAGCAAAAATCATTAGGACTTCAGGGAAAATGGACAACTCATTATTATAAAAGAAGATTTGAATATGCTTTCTGGATAGTTCAAACAGCCAAAAAATTAAGAAAGATACAGATTTTTAAACAATATATTGAACATCATTCATTCAATATATGCTGTACACCTATAAATGCCAAGTAGTCTTCCAGATGCTTGAGACGTGTGATTGAAAACAGATTAAGATGCCTGCCCTCCTGAAGCTTGTATCTGAGTGGGAAGTCAGCAAATAAAAGATACACTTAGTAAATCACTATGTTAGATATAAATTGTCTACTATGTTAGAAAACTATGGAAAAAAAGAAAAAGCCAGATAAAAGGGTAGGGAATGCCTATCACTGCATAGGTAGGTGTCACCAAAGTATTTTAAATCAGGAGGGTTGGAGTAAACCAAGTTTTGGAAGAAAAAAGAGGTTTAACATTCCAGTGCAAAGGCCCTGGGGCAGGGTGTGCCTAGTACACCTGGGACACAGAGACCTCAGTGGCTGGAACAGATTACCTGAGAAGAGAAACAGTAAGAGTCGAGATTACTGGAAAGATTGGTTTTTATTCCAAATGACATGGGAGCTGTTGCAGGGTTCCGGGTGGTAGAGTGATAACATCACTTAATTTAGGGCTTAAGAAGATTACTGGAGGGGTGGAAGTGGGCACAATTATAGAAGCAGGGAGCCTAGTGACAGCAGTGTAGGTAGGAAAAGGGATATTTTTTTAAAGTGGAGCCAACATGATTTCCTGAAGTTCTGAATGTGCAGTATGAGAAAGACAGAAGCCAAGACCAAGTCCGAGGCCTTGGCCTGAGCAACGAGGGGGACAGAGCAGCCATCCTCCAAAGTGGAGGAGAATTCTGTGTTCTTTCTTATTGCTTTTGTTTTCTGAATCATATTAAAACTGAGTACTTTAATAATTTTTTAAAAAATGACAAAATGGAAAACATGCAAACTATGAGGCTATTTATAACACACATACATAATGTTGGGCACCGCAGATTCTCAAACCTAATGATTGGAT